ACGTTGTTTCTCTCATTTGTAAGTTGCTTTAGATAAAAGCATCTTCTAAGAAATAAAATAAAATATAAAATAAAACAAAATAAAAAACTTGTAGAGTGCTTCAAATGGCTGACTTCTGCTTCACTACAGTGAGGACGCTCCCTCAGAAGGCAGCAGACTATGTAGACAGCAGATGTTTGTATCAGAGCTCATGTGAAGAGTCGGGGATATGAATATATCAGCAGCAGACAGAGGATCTGAAACCAAACTCCAGCATCCGACCTCTGCCAATAAATCCACATAATCCGGTCAAATCTGCAGCTCAACCCGAGAGAGATCGACACGGATCCACGGACAGACAGACGGCATTCCTGACAGCATCATTAGAGCCTTAAATCAGGGTGAAGATGCAGGTACATCATGATTAAAGTCAAAGCTCAGACTCCAGTCCAGCTGATTTTCCTCTCAGAGAATGAGGGGCTCATTTCAGCAGCAAAATTACGTATCGATCGACCTCATCTCAAAAATAGTCTGAATCGGCCTGATTGCAATGAGATGGATTTGTGATGTTTGTCCACTTTAAAGAAGAGAAACGACGTGAGCGAACAACCAGAAACAAACATCAAGACACAGACGCAGACGCTCCATTCCATAACAACCATATCACTGCATTTTTTATTCATTTCAGTGAGTTATTATTGAAAATTACCTGACATTAAAATTCGTAATATCAAATTAATTTAGATTCATTTTACAATACTATACATATTCAATGAGCTCAATTGAGCTAATGTTCCTTTTCAAAAATAATTAAATTTAAAAAAAAAAATTCATTTCATTTCTTTTATCAAAATATACACGAAAGAGATGGAAAAACTAACAGACGGAGATGATGTTTTAAGACAGGCTCAAACAATCACATAAAAAATATTATTATTATAATATTATTATTATTATTATAAATGAATATTTTGTATACAAGTTCATTTTAATAATAATAATAATAATAATAATAAACACACAAACTCACTCACACACACACACACACACACGCAGCTGGAGGATACGTGTTCCGCTGAGACTCTAAACTGCATTGGTTCCTCTGATTTGCTCTTAAACTGGAATCAAAGCGGGCTTGATGCGCTGAACACTGATGCGTGATCAATAAGCAAACAGGAGCTCTATGAATGCAGACGCAGCACTCCAGGCCTGAGGCCATGCGCTGTGATTAATTACTCGGCTGTTCTACACCATTAGCCAAAGCGCTTTCTTCCCAACAATCAGCTCAGAGCGGAAGCTGGCGTTCTGCGGCTGCTGTAATCTGCGTGTCGGACGCGTCAGCATCAATACGTCATTAGCTGTGCGTATCTTTATCTGTGCTGTATTGCACTAATTAAACCCAAACGATTTCCATTAGAAGCGGGCGTCTCCTCTATCACCGGCGGGTTTGAACTAACTCACCAATTACAACGTGTTAAAAACCACCAAACGCCAGCCGTGTTGCTCTCAACTTATTCAATTACAGCTCATAATGAAATCAAACACACTTATGAAACATTATGAGGAGCAGGAAGACGCTGCATTTATAGATGATTCTTAAAGCGATAGTCCACCCTAAAATCATCATTCTGACGTCATTTACACCCATCATGTCACTTAAACCTGTATGATGTTTGTTCTGTGCAACTCAAAAGAAGATATTTTGAGATTTTGGAAAACTTTTATATCCTATTTTGTGTTCTTCGGATGAAAGATATCCATATAAATACTTTTGGGTGAAAATCCAGTTAAGTTCAATATTACAATATTACTGTATATTGTATATATGCAGTTCAAATGTTTGGGTTCAGTGCAACTTATTTTTTAAGAAATTAATACTTTTATTAATCAAGGATGCATTAAGTTGGTCAAAAGTGACAGTAAAGACATTTATAATTGTAAAAGATTTCTATTTCAAATAAATGCTTGTCATGAGTCCGGGCCCTGCGTTTCTCCCTCTCTCCACCAGAGGTCGCCATCTCCTGTCCTCCCGGACTCCATTCTCCAAACTCCACACACCTGTCAGTTATTACACCCTCAGCTGTTCCCCATTGTCATGGACTATTTATACACTACACTCCCGCTACTCTGTCTGGTTATTAATTACTTGTTTGTAGTTTATGGATGCAAGCACCTTCTGTTGCTGTATTTGTATCCCGGTCCTGTTCTTTTTTTTAGTTGTTTTTCAGATCGTTTGATCTGTTTCTGTTTCTGTTTTGCTTAGTCTGTTTTGGTTTAGCAAATAAACCTGCATTTGAACCCAGACCCCTGTTTACACAGTGTGTTCCCTAACCATACCGTGACAGAATAAGCCAGCAAACATGGGTCCAGCAGGGAAGTTCCTCAACATCCGCCAGGGAGACCGGAGCATTGAGGATTACACCAGGGACTTCGTTGGAGTGGCTCGCCAGTCGGCTACGGAGAAGACCTGCCTCATGGTCTTTTTCTGGGGAGGTCTAGCCGAGCCCTTCAAGTCCCTTATGCCTTACTGGCACCCCGAGGAGTCACTGGAGGAATATGTCAATTGGGCTCTGTACTTGAGAGGCTCATCCTTCAGGGTGGAGTTCGCTGCGGAGCCCGCTAACAGTTCTCTCGGAGCGGTGATTCAGGAGACTTCAGAGGTCTTGTCAGCCGTTCTGAGAATCTCATGCCAGTTCCTGGGCCGTCCCGGCGGAGTCCGCTCACAGAGCTCCCGAGGCGGTGGAGTCCGCTCACAAAGCTCCCGAGGCGGCGGTGTCCACTCACAGAGCTCCCCATCCCTCCCCCCGGGGCTCGCTTCTGGCCTTCCCGAAGCGGCTGATTCCGCCACTGCTCGTTCCAAGGTGGCAGCGCCTGATACAACTGCAGCTCCACACGCACCGCTGTGGCGGCCGCTGGTTCTGCCCTGGGTCCCCATCCCGCCGCCTCTGCCTCAGTCCCCAAGTCCCCCTCCAGCACACAGACCTAGTGCCCCATCCCTCCCCCTGCTCCGCCCCCGCTCTGCTAACCCCCTGGTTGGGCGTTTGGAAACGTCTGGAAGCCGTTCCTTAGAGAGGGGGTTCTGTCATGAGTCCGGGCCCTGCGTTTCTCCCTCTCACCACCAGAGGTCGCCATCTCCTGTCCTCCATTCTCCAAACTCCACACACCTGTCAGTTATTACACCCTCAGCTGTTCTCCATTGTCATGGACTATTTATACACTACACTCCCGCTACTCTGTCTGGTTATTAATTACTTGTTTGTAGTCTATGGATTCAAGCACCTTCTGTTGCCGTATTTGTATCCCGGTCCTGTTCTTGTTTGAGTTGTTTTTCAGATCTTGTTTGATCTGTTTCTGTTTCTGTTTAGCAAATAAACCTACATTTGGACCCAGATCCCTGTTTACACAGTGTGTTCCCTTACCACACCGTGACAATGCTGTTCTTTTGAACTTTCTATTCATCTGTGAATTATTTAGATTTTTCTTTTTTTGTTGTTGTTTTTTTTTTTTTTTTTTTACAATTTTTATTTTTTTTTTTGTGTGCATACATATAATAATTTAATAATAATCCTTACACTCAAATTAAATTTATGGCAGGTTTATTTGTAAAGTATTTATACATTGTGTTAGTATTTGTTGTACTGACTAAATGTTTTTTTTTTTTTTTATACATTTTTAACACAATAAATTTTTTATATTAGGGCAAAATATTTTTTGTATTCACCCAAATAATTAAAAAGTAAAATAAATAAATAAAAGAGTGAATGGATGGATGAATAAATAAATAAATGTATTTTTAAATAATTTAAAAATCATTAATCATTGAATTAAATATTTTTAGTGTGCATACATATAGGTAACTAAAATTAAAATGAAAACATCTCTGTCGTTTAAAATAAAATAAATGTTAACTGGAATAAAAAAAATATAAAAATACATTTTTAAAAATATATATTTTTTAATGAAATGTTTATCAGTTTAACTTGAACTAAATTAACAAAATTATTTTAATTATTTAAAAAAAC